CCCCACCCTCCGTTCAAAACCGGGGAAAAATCTAAAAGGCCCAGCTGGCCAGTGAGCAGGGCAGTGGCACACACCGCCCTTTTGGGGCTTGTGGAAGATGGGGGTGAAAGGAGGGTGTCCCCCTGGGTGGCAGCGCTGCCTGGCTGCCCTGTAGCTCTGGAGGAAATGCTGCAAACCATCATCACCATGTTTTTCCTGGAGCAGAAGCCAAACGGATTCCTCAGCTGATGGGCCAAAGGAGTGGAGTAGTACCAGCTGTAAGTTGATTTAGCCCCTGGGCTTAGAAGGGACCTAACAAAAGCTTTTGTGGAGCAGTGACCACTTGAGCAGAAGTTCTAGGACCCTTTACTTGGGGGGAATCCATTCCACAAAGAAGCACTTCCACCCCACAGGCAGAAAATCAGGGCTGCAAGAAGCAGTGATGGGCACTCCCAGGGGAGTAGAAACCCAGTGGAGATTCGCAAGAGGCCACGGAGGCCACAGCTCAAAATCCAGCCATTCAAGAGTTACACTGGCCTATTGATTCCACTCCTGGATTCCACTCCATCTCAGCGTGTCTCAAATAAAAGAGCGTGCTCACTCTCCTTTTGACTTTCTCGCCCTTGGTGGCCAGTTTGTGGAACAGGGACACTTGCGATGCCCATCTGAAAATGCCTTCTCTCGTCCTCCTTCTCCAGTCAGCTCCCAGCTGTTTCCCAAAGAAGCTTTGCTGGTGGGTCTGTAGGGAGGATGCAAAGAGATGTCCGGTCCCTCGTTCGGTGTCAGAGTTGCGCCTTGGGCCAGTCCTTGAGTGGTCCAGGAAGAAATAAAACAACTGGACTCTGCTTTAGTTAAAGCTACAGATTATATTATATACAGCTATATACACACATACAGCAATATATCTACCTACTAACCTATTCCATGTCTCTTAGTAACACACCCAGCAACACCCAGTCATAACCAGCAGCTCACAGGCTGCTTATATCTCCCACATAGTATCCTTCAGGTGTGAGCACTTGGCTCATTCACCTTTGCCCCGTGTTATTCTCACAGTAAAATTTCTACTGAGTATACTTCTGTTAGCAAATTTGAGTTTCTGACTCTCCCTAATTAGGACTGAGTCCGGCAGAAGATTGGACACGAAAGCACCAGCTGAGATTTTAAAGTTTTATTGAAAGAGGACCAGTAGAGTCAGCTGGGTCTCCCCTTAAGGCAGAGAAGAGCCCCGGTCATACCCAAAGA